CAACAGCGGAGAGGCACAGGTTGGAAGGGTTTAGGGCTGTTTGGTATCTCCATCTGTCCAGTTGATTTCCCACACTCGACCTGTAGATACATCCGACGTACATGGGGAAAGCAAGCTGCTGCTTCCCTAAACTATTTCCTGAAACAAAAGCAGCTTACCCGTGACACCTGCTGTCGATACCCATCGAGACATCAACCGGCTCCAACGCAGAAGATAGATAGTATCTCCTCATACACTGTCATTCCATCATTGGGGCCTGACTATCGCGGGAAATGCGACAGATCATCTTTCTAGAGAAACCCTCCAAACCCCGACCACAACCATCAGGGCTCCCATGATTGGTAGGCAAGCGATCTGGCCCAACTCAACGCCAGGATTATCCATAAGGTGCATATCTATAGGTCGCAAAGTAGGCACGGGGTAAACAACAACAACAAAGACCGACAGAACAACAGCATGCCATGGCGTCCGAGCATGACGTGCCAATAGGTCCCCCAACGGCCCATGATCGCCAGCCAGACAATTGGAAACGCCTCCCCAATGGCAACCAGTCGTGTCACGGAGCCAACGTTGCACGACATGATTTGTGCAGAGCCGGTGGCTGCCCAAAAAAGAAGCACATGCACGCCGTTCAGAACTTGTTGATTCTCGACCAGGGATCCACCCAGATAATGCCACTGCCTTCTCCCCGGCAAATCAGATTGAAGTCGCTCTGTGGGCTCCCGTCAAACAACCCTGAAGACAATCACGGTTAGATGTCATCGTCGGGGACTCGTCCGAGTGCCGAATTTCTTTTCCCCAAGTCCTCACTTATCCAGCTGACTTGCAGGTTTTCCCCGTACTGGTGCAGTGGATTTCGATTTCCACATTATGGAGTGAAACGCCATTGTAGTAGTAGTAGTAGTAGTAGTAGTAGTAGTAGTAGCAGTAGTCATAATCCCCCAAACCATGAACTTTGATTATCTGTGCCAGTGCCAGTAGTAGTGTACACATACGCGCAAACTCATACACAATTATCCACATTGACGCAACCACGATGAAGTTCGCTCGGTTTAGAATACTATAAAGCATTGAAAATATCCAGAATCAATTTTTAGCAGCAGACTGTATTAAGGAGCAAATGATGACGAAATTGTAAGGAAAAGAAAAATAAAATCCAGGTATTTGACCGCGAGGTCCAACGTTCTAGTCTGTCTTGGTATCAATCCATGTATCCCAAATCAAAAAGAAATAACCCCATCCCGTCTATTCCCAACGCCGGTAGTAAAGCAGACCAAGTAGAAAAACAACAAATCTCGACAAATCACTTTTGGTGGAACAGATCATAGACCTGAGCTGGTTCGTGTCGGCGGATTAAAGGTGTATGGAGGCAAAAAATAATGGTCGATCGAAGAATTGAAAAGAAGTAGGTGGTGGCCGTGTCGTTCCATGGTGAGAAGAAAAATGTCCACGGCGGAAAGGGCGTGATTAGAAAGTATGTAGAAACCGAAACCAGTGGCGGCAAAAGGACAACGCAGTAAGAGCAGGAAATAGTAGTGGTACAGGGAACTATGATTCGTTGTTAGTCGGGAACCAAACCACCCGGGGAGATGCTTGTGTCTAGGCAACTTACAAGCTCGACTTCATAGTAGTCACGTCAAACTCCAGGAGCCATGCGCCAGTTGCAAGTCACAAATAACTTTTCGCTCGAGAGAACAGCAGAACAGCAGCATGTGGTTGGCAGATGTCTCCAAGGGTTTCATCGGGTCGAAGGCGGCGGCGGTGGTGCACCCGGCTTCTTGACTCCGGTAGTGTCGTAAGCTCCTCGTCCCATGTTGAAGGCTGACAGATCTCGCAATATCATTTCAGATTCTGAGCGAATGGCCATGGTCAGATGCTGAAGGTTTTCTCTTTCGGAAAGGAGTGGAAGACGGTGGGAAAGATATAGAAAAGCGAAGGCGGATGTTTTGAAGGGAAGTGCGTTTCAAGCCTGGGAGAAGTGTACTCACAGGAAGATTAAATAAACACACGACGGGCCTCCCCAAAAAAAGAAAATACCAATAAATAAAAAGAGCTCGATTATTATTCTGACTGTGCGTCGTGTTGATAGATCGTGTGTAGGACTAGCGAGGTACCCAAGCGATTCCCGGCAGCGAACAGGCGGTAACGACGCAGACAGATGATGCAGGCTGCAGGTGAGATCGGAAGTGGGATCCTTATTAAGGCACACAAGTCTGACACTGGGTTGGAGACGAGACAGGGTGGTGTAGTGTAGGCAGATCTGAGTAGGGCAGGAATGCGACTGTCGAAGTACCAAGAAATGGGCGTGTAAGAATGAGGAAGGGTGGAGTCCTTAAACCCAGTCGACAGGTCGCTTTTTTCTTTTGTTTTTACCCTCTTTTGATCCTCTTTAGACACTCATGCGGTTCGAAGACGTTTATTTTCTTTTTCCTTCTTTCCCCTTGGGAACTTTTTTCCAGGTGGCAGAGCGACGAGAGATAAAAAGTACGCGAGACGTGCAGATGATGGTAATTGGAAACAAGCGCGATCTGATCAAGAACCAGCGACCAAGGACACGGAGGACGACTTATGCAGCCGGCAAGGAGGTGATCCTGGAAAGGAGCACGGAAGTGAGCTCCGTCTAATCCGGTAAAAAAAAGAAACCAAGCTAGACTGGACGTATCGCAAGGGAGGATGGAACGCGGCCTGGTAACGTCACGGCGAGGAGGATCGGGAATAGAGCCGAGGGCGAAGGGAATGGGCGAAAGTACGTAGGGAGGAAGAGGAGAGGAGCTGGACGAGGAGGAAGGGTGAGTTTGAAGAATTTAGTAGCCAGATGGTTGAAGGGGGTCCATCCCATAGATATATAGTGACTAGACCTTCTTACTTTATGGTTGATTTATTCTTTTTATTCTAAAATTTTAAATGCTCAGATTGGGGTGATTTCCAACTTAGACAGAAAAGAACCTAAACTTCTGAAAGTAGGAAGCCAAAAAAAATAGAAAATCAAAATAAAGGTGGAAGATACTTAATCTAGATACGGAAAGACAAGAAAAGTAAACAGAAAAAGAAAATTCAAAAAAGGAAAAAGGGAAAAATAAAAGGTGGAAAATCCAATTGGGAAAATGGAAAAACTACGGAGAGAGTAAGAGGCTAAACCTGGCCAGAAGAGTGTGTAGACGGAGCAATGACAGAGTCATAGTAATACGGCGAAGACTAGAAATTTGAGAGAGACACAGAAATTAATAAAAGCAAAATACGCATACAGTAGGAGTAATAGTAATAATAACAACAATAATAGTAGTCGAGCAACAGCTCTCTTTAGCATAGCTAGGCGGCTCTCCCGTCCCGAAGGTAAGGTACCGTAGTACGTGAAAGGAGTGGGTGCGATCCATTTCCCCCTTTCTTTTTCTTTTCTTAGGGGTTTCTGGCCCCCATCACCAACGTCGTGACGCCTCTCTCGGACGGGAAACTTTGTAGCCACCTACTAAGTAATAGGTAGCTCGAGTGAAGGTTGGTATCTTTTTTACCTTTTCGTTGCTTTTCTATCCTATCCCTTTGCTTCTTTGTCTGAGTCGCCTCATGTTATTCCCGGTCACTCAAGTGGCTCTCCATCCGCATCCCATCCCCCTTCCCCCCCGTCAGTTGCTACTACTAGACCTTCCAGATGATGGCTGATACCTAGGCACGGGTTCATCTCGGAAATTGTAGGGAAACCACAGGAAGAGTCCGTCTAATCCGTAACGGAAGTGACCTTACCTAGATTGTTTCTGGATAGAGAAATCCATTCCATCGATCATGGCCTAGTTCGGAGAAGACTTTGCCCAACCAGTCAAGGGACCGACCTCTCCGACTATAGTAAGTAAAGGTACTGTAAATTTGTAATGGCATTGAGAATTTAGCCACTGTTCAGCAGTCATCATCATCATTCTGACGACCACCACACCAGTAACGGAAAAAGGAAAATACCACTACAGAAGAAATTTGGAGGGTCTCCACTGACTGTACGGAGAACATCAGTCAGAAGCTAAGAACCGATTCCTCGGACGCGACGGGCAGGTTTGAGTGCAGGTGAGTGGGGAAGGCAGCCGCTCACAGGATCCCGCGGATGGATCCGAATCCAGCACCAATGGGTCCGCTGGGGCTTGACCTGATGCTTTCTCGCGTGGTTTTTGGGGGGGGGGGGGGGGAAGAACCAAAGTCAGGGGCCCCTGGATGGGGGGAGGAGCCTGTTTCCCGGAAACCCTACGTATTCAAAATTCCATGGGATGCCCATAGCTAGCTAACTAGGTCTGTCTGGGTGCTTTTGCACAGCATGACCCCATGCAGATGTTTTGACTTTTCTTCTTTTCTTTTTTTTTCCCTTCCCTTTTTGCTCATTGATATTTGCCTCTTATCCTATGAAACGGGGTCTCTGAATTTTCGGGCTGGATCTATTATTTACCAGTGGTGGCTGCTAAGATTTAGAGCGGCGCACCCTTGTCGGTAGTTCCCCCCTAACACGGCTAGACATCCTGGAAAGGGCTGGAGTACCTGCATAGCCGCACTTATCTATCGAGCTCGACTACTGTACGATCGAGATGATCGAACTTTGATGGCGCCAACCATGGTTTGATAGGTAAGGTCCAGAGCTCTGGGCTATCACTCCAATCATCCTGGGCGTAGAAGTATGTAAGTATGAAAAGTACTCTCAGTACTTTGACAAACCAGCTACCTGTTTCTGCTTTCATCCGTAATGGGCATTCAACCCTACGGGAAGTTGGCCTACTAACTACTAGTAAGTAACCGCCGGGGATACGGAGGACCAGGGTACCTAACCAGGTTCAGAACCAATCCAGAAGCTTTCCGTCCGGTAGTTAGTCACCTGCTGCACTTTAGTTTGGAGTAGTTTCGGGAGACTATTTCGCGACCAAGATCACTGTTTATTGATGGACCTCCCTAGCCTGGCCCACCATTTCTCCTGGTTTGATTCATGTCAGCCACAGAGAGATTAGCACCGGTTTCTGTCACCTCTGGCCCTCGTTTGTCGTCTCTGAGTGAGCAATCAACATACACAGGTCAACTATCTACTAAGCGAATCCGAGCTGACCTCAAGACATTGTCTGTCTTTACTTTTTCTACTTCCTTATCCTTCATTTCCCGCTGGACTTCTTTTCCGTCCTCTGATCTTTTGGCACACTCGCGTCTTCCTTCCCTTTGGTCACCGGGGAAATCGGCTGGCTGAAAGGGGCAGTGGGGCCCCCTAATAACGATCCATGATCCGGCAAATCCACTGTTACCCGCCTCCGTTACGTATTATTGTGCAACTCGCATTCTTCTCGCGCGCTTCTAATCCTTCTAGCGCCCTCGCCCTGCCTGTTCGCCCCCGCGACCGCGGATGGAGCTGCGAGCAACCAGAACCAGCGCGCCAATTTTGCAGCTTTTCGGTCCTACGATCGCAGACTACCAGACTCTAGTAAACGATAGGCTCAATTTACGCTGGGTCCAGGAGCCCTCTAAAACCTCCCGAAGAACAATCTGGATGTTCTTCCCCCCCGACAAATTGGGGGATTCGCAGCCCTGTGCGGATTTCTGGGGGTTGACATCTCCGACTGCATGGAGGAAGCTAGTTTAGTTAATACTCAGGTAAGCAAGCTCTCTCACTCGTCTGTTGTTCTGTAAATTGTGGCTGGAATTACAAATTACCTCTGTCGCTTGACCGTCGTTACCCAGTATGGGCTAAATTATTCGACTCCACCAGCCCATCCCACTACATCATTCTTACCACTTCTATTCCTGACCTTCGCCACAATGGGGCAAAGCGAAGTAGTAACGTCTAGACGAGTGGAATTCTAGACTGACTCGAGCTGCTCAAAGCCGCCCACGTTTACCCAACCTCTTGCTCACTTGGGTAGCTTCTGATCCTCTGATAGTATCTCCGTTGTAGACCGTCTTGACGTCGCCGTCGATCTGCGCGGAGAAACAATGCCACAAAGTGCCAAGCGACGCATGTACCGGGATTCGCAACATGGGACTCCCTGCTAGGCTGGCGCGTACGCGTGTTTCAATCCAACCGATGGATTGGAACTAGCCGTCACAGTCACACCGTAGGCGCTTTATCTTTGTTTGGGGATGTCTGATTACACCTTATCTCACAACTGGTTCGTACTTTTCCCGTCTCTTCTCTGACTAGCCAATGACGTGAATCAATTGAAAGGGACATAGTTGGCCTTTTCTTTGTGGTCGAATAGGACGTTATGACTGTGTCAGCAGGAAGAAGTAGAGGTGCTGATAGCATCAGATTCTGAGACATGAGACCATCCCATCCAATGGAATGGCATGACTTGTATCTTTAATCCTTCCATTTTTTTTTGCGACAAGCCGTCCTCGGCTACATGTGACACCTTAGCTTGGTTTTTTGTTTTATCATCATGATCCTGGACCAAACAGCCGAACATACACACCCACACAATAATAAGCACCCAGCAATAATAATAGCACTCGTCAATTGACCCCAGAAATCCAGGCCCAACAGCCGACACACCTTCTCACGCCCAGAATCCAGCAATGGCTACAGAAACAGAAACATCAACAAAAAGCAAACGCAAGCAAGTGTTCCACCCACTTGCGCCCGGATGGGTCAAAGTCAACTCAACCACCTCTTCCAGAACGATTCTAGAAGGCCCATCCGGATGGTTCTTCCCTTCCCCATCCAACCATGGTTCGCTCGCGGATCGTACCATCCGTCATGGTCCCCGGGACTTTACGCCTCTGAACCCGCTGGCTGCCAAAAAGAAAAATAAATATCGGGGATACGAAATAAAACCCACAAATTGCAGAAAGCTACTGTAAGGCAGAAATAGCTATTATGATCCCCGTCTCAACGGCCCGAATACGTCCCCAAAAGAGGAAATTACTCGATAGGCGAACCACCACGACTCCATCGAGAGAGTGGACTTGTCCTCCGTAATTGGTTTACGGGGAGGCTAGAACGGCGCTAGAAACCGGAGGAACGGGACTAATGAGTACTTTGGTCTAGCGAAAAGGGTGGAAAGGGAACTGTTGGGCGGTATTGCCTTTTTGGAAATGGAGGAGAAGAAAAGCCAAAGGTAAGTACTCCGTAGGTTGAGTTTTTTCTTTCCGGGTTCCGCAGACGCTAGAGCGTGTTTTAACTTGTGGGTATCATGGCTTTTTTTTCTAATTGGGTCGGTCGGTCTTGGAAGGCTAGATCGTTGGAAGGATTGAAGAGGATTGCGAGAAACGGCATGGAATGGATGGATAGGATCCTTCCGATCCGATATGGTTAACTATTTACTGACTGTCGATAGATAGTTGGGTTGATTATTCAAGCTATCTGGCTATCTATTTGTCCGACTACTGACTGACTGGTCTTCAATAGGGCGGTTGGGGATATATTGAATTGGGTAGATAATGGATACATCCAGCAATCAATCAATCCATTGAGGATCCGTCGCGAGCTGCTACTTGCTTGCTTGCTTACAATTTTGGTAAGTGGTAAGTGGTAAACAGGGATCAGACCACATGATTGTGATTAGTTTCATGATCCATCATTTCGAACTTTTTTCCCTTGCAAGCCACTAATAATTCCCGCACAAGGGAACAGCGATGAGAAAACCTGACCTGTCATGCGTGAACGTTCATCTTGGAGTTCGTTCGAAACATGTCTAGGATTTTCCGACGGTGATGGTTGGATGCAGATTGATTGATTGATTGATTGATCAATGGATGGGCCGAAGTAGTCCGAACACGGAGCCATAAGTACTATTACTCACTACCTTAGCCATGAAGTAAACATGTACTTTACTTTACTTCTCTTCCGAATGGCTCATTCGTTGGTTCAATCGTTCCCACAACCAGGTTCAAGGTTCAAGGGTTAAGCATGGTTTAGTTTTCCCTGCAAAAATATGACTGGACATGATTCAGCCCGCATCGGCAAGATGCATTAGCCATGCAGGAAAAAACAAATCTAATTCAAGCAAATACAGCAACACCTCAACGTCCGATTTTATTTAATTCCCCGTGGAAAGGGAACATACCAGAATGATCGAGACCCTGTTCTACTTGCCATGGTGCCGCTGTATAGTACGGCCGGGTATCGGGATTATTCTGCAGCAGATCGTTTTAATTCAGCCACAGAAAGAGATAAATGGATGTATGTACTGCATGTGGCTAGATACAGACATACATACATACATACTGCAGAGCTACATCCCAGATGAAGAATACAATACAGTAGCCAGAGAGGATCGACCGATCTGCCGTGAAACACGAAAACCAACCCATACTTAACTTACCCTTACTGTACTACTTAAACTATAGCCAAGAGGGAAAAAGGATGAGGATGATGTGCTTCTGAAGAGGCGGGGGGTCTGTTCGCCATTGTATAGTACCTTGCAGAAAACTATGGGACGGGGAATGGGCGAGGGTTATGCGACCGACGCAGGGGAGATTGATTATGGTTAATGCCAAAGCGTTTTTTGCCTCTTGTTGATCAGGTAAATAATGTACGTACTTTTGGCGATTTACCCTGTGCAGAAATGGAAGTGAAGACATTGTCTTGTTTTACTTAGACGGGTAGCAGTCTTGCATTTTACATGGTAGCTTAGCTTAACCTGTCTCTACCTAGTAAATATGTATGTGCGTTGAGTGGAATGGGACAGTGAGTGAATGAAGAAAATCCCCGAAGAGCTGAAGTGAATGATCAATTGCCATTATGGGTACAAGTATTTTCTTGCTGAAAGGTAGGTTATTCCCTTGTTCATCATCATCTACACTAGTACTGTTAGCTAAGCTCTCAATCAAAGCGGCAATTCTTCAGTTCTACAGCTACTATCCATCCAGGTGGAACACGTGCCTTGACAGTGGCGTGAAAACCTGGACTTTAAGGCCGGAAAATCTACTAGTCGGTTGGTACCTGCCAAGGCTCTAGGCAAAATTCCTGGGCTGAGCTGAGCTGAACTAGCTGATGAAGCTGAGAGTTGAGCTGTCTGTCATTCAGTCAATCATTTTAGTGTTTTTGCTCCCATAACTCAAAATCAATAATGCAATTGGAATCCATGCGACATGACTGATCCAGCGAGAGATACTAGAGAGAGTACTTCGTACAAAGTAAGTAATTTGCAGTTAACAACAAAACAACACGTCCAACCCGTTATCCCTAACCAGGTAACGATATTCACCCTTCTTCTTTCTTCTTTCTCTCACACTCCCTCTCTCCCCCTGATCCACCTGAGTGGTAACAGACCAAAGAGAAAACTCGATAACCCTACAGAACTACAGCACTAGAGGCGCGCGGAATCGCAGCCGGCTTTCCTTTAGTGTCCACTTCTCGTCCACGGGATGGCGTTCTAGAAGGGGAAACTTGATCGGATCGTCTGCAAATCCTTTTGGGCTCTCGGCTCATTTTTACGAACGGGGCTGAACTGAATGAAAGAATACTAGGAAAGGGGAGGTGTGTGTTTATTCATTTCTTTTTTTTTTTCTTTTCTTCCCAATAACAGTGCGGACGGATGATGGCAACTTTTTTTCGATAGATGGTTTTTTTTTTGGGTTGATGATTCACCTGATAAGGATGTCCCGTGTCGCCCTGTCAATGTTTTCTTTTTCTTTGCTTTTTCTCTTTCTTGTGCTTGCTATCTTTCCTCTACTCTTTTTTCTTTTCTTTTTCCTCTGCTGAGGGTGATCTTCTAGATTGATAGATAGAGCGAGAGAGAGGGAGAGAGGATGGGGAGGCGCGCGCGGACGGACGGACGGACGGACGGGATAGATACATGATAGTTACACAGCTCCAGCTACAGTAAGTCACGGGAGAGAAAGAAAAGGGAAGGGAAAGAAAGAGGTCCACGGTGGATGTATCAAGTTCCATGTCAATCCAACTAATTAACGCATCCACCCGCCACTCTGGAACCTCATTTCGCTTCCCCGTTCCGGACCATATTTCAATTCCCCTTTTTAGGTCATGGTGCATCCCTCCCCTCCGTCTCTCCTTCCCCCCGTATCACCTCAAAGACATATTTTCTTCTATTTCTTCAGCCACCCAGCAAAACCACCAGATTGATGCGTGATGATCGCCTTGCCCCGTCCGTCAGCCTCATCGTTAGTCTGGATGCTGAGCGACCCTCCATCCGTCCCAAAGGGAAGGGAAGGGAAGGGATTGAAGGGGGCCCGGTCCATGCATCCATCCCATCTGACAGACTTCCCGATTCGGAGTGATGATCTTCAGGTCGCCTCCGTGGCGGACCCAGCTAGCTAGCATTATTATTATTATAATTATTTTTACTATAATTATTTTTTTCCCTTTACTGAAGAAAGCTAGATAGTTAAGTAGTGACTGAATAGATAGATCAGATCATTCTTTTACAGTAGCTGAGTTATTTTACCTACCTATCTTCCCGGAGATGATGGCGCAAGTGAGCGATCATACATCTCCGCCGAGATGAGGCGGTCCCCCCCCTCCCCCCGCCT